GGAGGCTCTAGACCCTTCCAGAGCTGAGATATCGAAACTCAAAATTTCGACCAGAAAAAAAAAACGACAGTGTTACCCCTTACGTTTTTTTTTTTGGGGCGAAAAATTAAGTATCCCCAATCTTCTCAAAACTCTGGATTCTGATAGAGGGCCATGAGACTTAGACCTGAGTGCAACAATGGAGGCTCTAGACCCTTCCAGAGCTGAGATATCGAAACTCAAAATTTCGACCAGAAAAAAAAAACGACAGTGTTACCCCTTACGTTTTTTTTTTGGGGCGAAAAATTAAGTATCCCCAATCTTCTCAAAACTCTGGATTCTGATAGAGGGCCATGAGACTTAGACCTGAGTGCAACAATGGAGGCTCTAGACCCTTCCAGAGCTGAGATATCGAAACTCAAAATTTTGACCCGAAAAAAAAACGACAGTGTTACCCCTTACGTTTTTTTTTTTTGGGCGAAAAATTAAGTATCCCCAATCTTCTCAAAACTCTGGATTCTGATAGAGGGCCATGAGACTTAGACCTGAGTGCAACAATGGAGGCTCTAGACCCTTCCAGAGCTGAGATATCGAAACTCAAAATTTCGACCAGAAAAAAAAACGACAGTGTTACCCCTTACGTTTTTTTTTTGGGCGAAAAATTAAGTATCCCCAATCTTCTCAAAACTCTGGATTCTGATAGAGGGCCATGAGACTTAGACCTGAGTGCAACAATGGAGGCTCTAGACCCTTCCAGAGCTGAGATATCGAAACTCAAAATTTCGACCAGAAAAAAAAACGACAGTGTTACCCCTTACGTTTTTTTTTTTGGGGGGGAAAAATTAAGTATCCCCAATCTTCTCAAAACTCTGGATTCTGATAGAGGGCCATGAGACTTAGACCTGAGTGCAACAATGGAGGCTCTAGACCCTTCCAGAGCTGAGATATCGAAACTCAAAATTTTGACCCGAAAAAAAAAACGACAGTGTTACCCCTTACGTTTTTTTTTTTTGGGCGAAAAATTAAGTATCCCCAATCTTCTCAAAACTCTGGATTCTGATAGAGGGCCATGAGACTTAGACCTGAGTGCAACAATGGAGGCTCTAGACCCTTCCAGAGCTGAGATATCGAAACTCAAAATTTCGACCAGAAAAAAAAAACGACAGTGTTACCCCTTACGTTTTTTTTTTGGGGGGCGAAAAATTAAGTATCCCCAATCTTCTCAAAACTCTGGATTCTGATAGAGGGCCATGAGACTTAGACCTGAGTGCAACAATGGAGGCTCTAGACCCTTCCAGAGCTGAGATATCGAAACTCAAAATTTCGACCCGAAAAAAAAAACGACAGTGTTACCCCTTACGTTTTTTTTTTTTGGGCGAAAAATTAAGTATCCCCAATCTTCTCAAAACTCTGGATTCTGATAGAGGGCCATGAGACTTAGACCTGAGTGCAACAATGGAGGCTCTAGACCCTTCCAGAGCTGAGATATCGAAACTCAAAATTTCGACCAAAAAAAAAACGACAGTGTTACCCCTTACGTTTTTTTTTGGGGGCGAAAAATTAAGTATCCCCAATCTTCTCAAAACTCTGGATTCTGATAGAGGGCCATGAGACTTAGACCTGAGTGCAACAATGGAGGCTCTAGACCCTTCCAGAGCTGAGATATCGAAACTCAAAATTTGACCAGAAAAAAAAAACGACAGTGTTACCCCTTACGTTTTTTTTTTGGGGGGAAAAATTAAGTATCCCCAATCTTCTCAAAACTCTGGATTCTGATAGAGGGCCATGAGACTTAGACCTGAGTGCAACAATGGAGGCTCTAGACCCTTCCAGAGCTGAGATATCGAAACTCAAAATTTCGACCAGAAAAAAAAACGACAGTGTTACCCCTTACGTTTTTTTTTGGGGGCGAAAAATTAAGTATCCCCAATCTTCTCAAAACTCTGGATTCTGATAGAGGGCCATGAGACATAGACCTGAGTGCAACAATGGAGGCTCTAGACCCTTCCAGTGCTGAGATATCGAAACTCAAAATTTTGACCAGAAAAAAAAAACGACAGTGTTACCCCTTACGTTTTTTTTTTTTGGGCGAAAAATTAAGTATCCCCAATCTTCTCAAAACTCTGGATTCTGATAGAGGGCCATGAGACTTAGACCTGAGTGCAACAATGGAGGCTCTAGACCCTTCCAGAGCTGAGATATCGAAACTCAAAATTTCGACCAGAAAAAAAAAACGACAGTGTTACCCCTTACGTTTTTTTTTGGGGGGCGAAAAATTAAGTATCCCCAATCTTCTCAAAACTCTGGATTCTGATAGAGGGCCATGAGACATAGACCTGAGTGCAACAATGGAGGCTCTAGACCCTTCCAGAGCTGAGATATCGAAACTCAAAATTTTGACCCGAAAAAAAAAACGACAGTGTTACCCCTTACGTTTTTTTTTTTGGGCGAAAAATTAAGTATCCCCAATCTTCTCAAAACTCTGGATTCTGATAGAGGGCCATGAGACTTAGACCTGAGTGCAACAATGGAGGCTCTAGACCCTTCCAGAGCTGAGATATCGAAACTCAAAATTTTGACCAGAAAAAAAAACGACAGTGTTACCCCTTACGTTTTTTTTTGGGGGGGCGAAAAATTAAGTATCCCCAATCTTCTCAAAACTCTGGATTCTGATAGAGGGCCATGAGACTTAGACCTGAGTGCAACAATGGAGGCTCTAGACCCTTCCAGAGCTGAGATATCGAAACTCAAAATTTTGACCAGAAAAAAAAAACGACAGTGTTACCCCTTACGTTTTTTTTTGGGGGGCGAAAAATTAAGTATCCCCAATCTTCTCAAAACTCTGGATTCTGATAGAGGGCCATGAGACTTAGACCTGAGTGCAACAATGGAGGCTCTAGACCCTTCCAGAGCTGAGATATCGAAATTCAAAATTTCGACCAGAAAAAAAAAACGACAGTGTTACCCCTTACGTTTTTTTTGGGGGGGCGAAAAATTAAGTATCCCCAATCTTCTCAAAACTCTGGATTCTGATAGAGGGCCATGAGACATAGACCTGAGTGCAACAATGGAGGCTCTAGACCCTTCCAGTGCTGAGATATCGAAACTCAAAATTTCGACCCGAAAAAAAAACGACAGTGTTACCCCTTACCTTTTTTTTTGGGCGAAAAATTAAGTATCCCCAATCTTCTCAAAACTCTGGATTCTGATGGAGGGCCATAAGACTTAGACCTGAGTGCAACAATGGAGGCTCTAGACCCTTCAAGTGCTGAGATATCGAAACTCAAAATTTCGACCCGAAAAAAAAAACGACAGTGTTACCCCTTTCGTTTTTTTTTATTTTTTGGGCGAAAAATTAAGTAGCCCCAATCTTCTCAAAACTCTGGATTCTGATAGAGGGCCATGAGACTTAGACCTGAGTGCAACAATGGAGGCTCTAGACCCTTTCAGAGCTGAGATATTGCGATATTTATCACACGCTCAACACCTTAAAATATATTATGAACGATACGTTCAATTCATCTATCTATAAATATCTTGATACTGATGAAACTTGCTCATTTTGTTGTAGTATTGTTAAAGAAACAGCTCCTCATTTATTTTGTGAATACATTTAGGGTTGATTTTAGTTGATATATTTTAAAATCTACTAATGTGACCAACTTTGTTATTCTTAACACAATATTCTTTTTTATTAAGAAACCCCCAAAATTTTCTCCTTTAAGTTTTCCTCTTTTTCTTGATGAATTTACCTTGTTTCAAACATTTTTTTTATTTATTTGTATTATGTATTATGTATTATTTATGCTGTTACCTCAGGACGCTTGTCCCGAGAAAAATGGCGTTCATCAGGTCCAGTTTTGTATCCAGCCTCTCACTGGGATTTCGGCTGCCCCAACGCCTGTGATGAGAAGACCAACGCCTGTGAAGAGATGACTCAATGCCGGCGATATGTTATGGCGCTGTTTTATATATAAACAATATTTATATTTAATAATTATATATAAAAAATATGAATGTTAGCCAGAGGAGAACTGGCCCCCGACTGAGCCTGGGTCTCCAGGTTTTTTTTCTCCATCCAATCTGATGGAGTTTTGGTTCCTTGCCACTGTTGCCTTGCTTAGTTGGGGATATTTAATATTTAATATTTAACAATATTATTGATCTGTGTTGTACTACTTTCATGTTATCACTGTGAAGCTGCTTTGATACAATCTGTATTGTGAAAAGCGCTATATAAATAAATGTGACTTGACTTATGAACTATTATGAAGATATTTAGCCTTGTTATTGTTTCCTGTGTATAAATATAATTATATGATGTCATATTATGATGAACACAAACCAATGATCTTTAAATTTTCTGTTTTTTCATGATTGTTGCCATGAAATGCTGCCATTCTCTTTCCTTCCAGGTCCTGCTCCACCACAAAATCTCTGCAGCAAATGCACAGAAATCAGGAATCAGAACTATGGTATCGTTCCATGATCTTGTATGTAATAAGTTTAAATGTGAGCAGAGCAACAGGTGCACTAACACTTCATAACATCAGTAACTCGACAGCACAACAGTTTTCCTCTGCGTTTGCAATGCCTGTACCAAGGAGATGGGCAGCTGCTTGAAGACCTCTTTTGGAGAAAACTGTTGATTTTATACTCGAAAAAAATTTAAGAATCACTCCTTAAAAAATTAATATTACCTCAGAATGAATTGCATTGTTAGCCCACCCCAAAACTTAAAGAAAATAATAATATTAAATACTGACCAATACTTAATTATATAACTTTTGTATACTAAAAATATAATTTAATAAAACCAACAAAATGTAATTTGTTTTGTCATATGACAGTTATGCATGAATACAATTATATTGCTAAATGTAGTGAAACATCTCAATTGTTGGTCAATCAATGAATTAATACATACATTAATTAAATAATTATATTTTATACTGACAACAATAAGAAACATGAATAAATGAGTAAAAGAACAAATACAAGTAATCATCACAAACAACAAGTCAACAACACATAAAAGAAAAGCTTTATTCAAACTACAAGCATGCGCTGAACACCACATCCTACTGCAAGCGCTTCACAATCTGAGGCAATAAGGGCAGATGGAGCGATAGAGGTTCTCATAAGGCCAGGTGGAGAGATGGAGGGTCTCATCCATGTCACCACTTCCAAGATGCAGCACTGGGCTCCTCATCCTCAGTCCTCACACCAGTCTGCAGACATTTCAGATCCTACAAAAATGCACAAACATTACACAAAAGCAGTCATTTAATAGCACAATGTCATTTGATTTATGTATTAAAAATAACCTTACTTTATATTTGAGTAAAATCCATAAAACCTTTTTTCCCCAACAAATGCTGCCATTCTCTTTCCTTGCAGGTCCTGCTCCACCACAAAATCTCTGCAGCAAATGCACAGAAATCAGGAATCAGAAAAGTGTTGTATTTTCTCCATTTGAAATTACAATCATTCAAATAAACTACAACTTAAGATTTAATAGATTTTGTTGTCCATTTCTTTAGTACACTCACTCAAATCCATTGATGACAGCATTCAGCATCATGAGCCTCTCTCCACCGGATAAACACACGTTCTCCTGTCCCTGAAACATACAGACAAGATTTTTTATCCAACTTAAATGTTCCTCAATATATCAACACTAATAAGGGACAAATTAAATATCATGTTTAGTTACTTTATAGATTTGTTTATTTGCCTTATTTATAGCACATTTGTCTGATGTAAACAGTGTTGACAACAGTGAATTATCCTACATAATAGCACAGCACACATAACCTTACACTTGAATGAATTTTTCATGTTGTGATGTGCTCATCTCCAATACTTATACAATATGTTCTTTCCTGATGTAAAAGTCATTTTAAAGGTGTACTGTTATGTAAATCCACTTTACAAATGTAACGTTACGTGTACTTACTGGAGCTCCCCTGTTAACTAGCTATATAATAAAACATGTTTACAGCAAAATCTATATTGTCTATATTGACAATATCATTCGAACGCAGTAATATTGTCAATATTATTGCGACAGTGGTACCCC